GTATTCAGAAGCACTGCTATCTCCAATGGAAGAAAGCGAAAGGCAAGCAGGGTGCCCTGAACCAACCAGGAACAACCTGAACTGACTGGACTGTAGGAGAAGGGACAGGGAAGGGTCTATCCAGCTAGAGTCCTAGGGGAAGAGCCTGGAATGGCTATGCTACCAAGAACGGAAGATGCAACTTATGTGGCTCAGTGCCTGCATAAAATACCCCTGGGGTGTTAAAAGATACAGCTTAGAGCTCCCCTTGCAAGGGAACAGTAGTTACTCAATTGTCTGGTGCAAGTCAGGGGTGCCACCTGGGAGGGGGCTGTGCTCTTTGGCCCCCCAAATATTTATTTGACCAATGTTCAGGGGGCGGAGGAGGCAAGGCTTCCATGGCTTCCATGGCTTCTTCGCCTCTTCCTGCTGTAGCTGCTGGGGAATGAAACCTTGGCTCTTCCCAATGGGGGAACCGGTATGCGACTGTTAGAATTCCTGCTCCACGATTCCAGTCATGGGATTGTTGTTTATCACATGACGGCATATGATTTGACTCCACAGAGTGGGAAGTGACGGAGATAGGATGTTTGTGTTACTGTGGGACTATTGTCCTTTGTTTTTTTCCTCTTTGCTGTCTGATGCTAGAGAGAGAAGGAGCCATGTTGCAGTTCTCCGTGTGTATTTATATGTAAATAAAGTAGATTAGCCAAAATGCTGAGCTGCTGAGGTCTGTCACACAAAACTCTGCAGATCCATAAGTGTGCCGATGTTGGTTGGCATCGGTCGCTGTTATGTTTGGGCAGAAGAAAGCTTTTGAAGCTCCCGAAGGAATGACCAGGCGGGAGGGAACATGCCAGTTGGGCATGTGTCTCTGCCAGGGTCCTACTCGAGTGTAGGCTGAACTCCTTACAGCAATGGGCAACCGGCATGCATGGAGCTAGGTGCACAAGGTGCAAAGGGCCTGCATGGCACCCAGGGTGCTCAGTGCAATGTCTGCAGGAGCTGGGGACTCTTTCCCCAGCAGCCACGGCCAGATCTTGGGGTGCTTGGCATGCAGTGTGACATCACACACACACGCAACACCGGCCCCCCAATCTGCCTCGCAAGTTGGGACATACAGTATAGGTAAACCAATGGCCGAAGACAGTTCATGTTGGGGTGAACTTATCATGGAATTACACTCTGGCTTTCTAGCAAACGAGCAGTGCCAACAAGCCGCCTCAACGCCGCTATAGAGAGAAAAGAGTGCCGGGTAAAGAGAGAAGCAAGAGATATAAAAAGGACAGTGACGAATTAGCCCGATGTGTAAAATGTAAAGGCCTCACCTTCTTCAAAATATCTGTGCCATGCTGCATTATTCATGGGCGGCAAGAGGGTGAGGTTTGTGGCAGTGGGTGGGTTGTGAAGCAAATGACAAAACTCAGAATGAGCACCCATACTGAAACCGAGCATTTTATGACGGCAAATCGAGCCGCCGAGGCAGATTCCGAATGCAAAGGACGTCTCCACATCATCTTGATGAACAGATAACAAGTGCTCTCGTGCCACTAGATCATTCCCTTTATTGATTTCCCGGCCACTTACTCCTGCTGTTTGCTTTGTATCCTTTAAGCCATTTTTAGCTGTCCGTCACCGTAAAGATTGGCACGGGAGATCTGCTTGCGGTATCGAGTTGCCGGCTTCCCAGGGCGACACCCAAGAGCCCTCTTCTCAATCTCTCTGGAGTGGCGAAAGGTCGCTGGATTGCAGTAGAGGGCAAAACGCTTGATGCCTGCGTGTCACAAATGAATACGGGGGCAAAGAGCACTTGCAGGAAGCGCTAAGTGCAAGCTGCTTCACTGTGTCTGGTCTCCAAAGCCCGGACCCGATAGATGCTCAAGAATCAGTGCACAAACAGCGGTATGTGGATCTAGGGTTATGTTGAAAGGAACACAATTCCCTTCCTTGTCTGCTCCAGAAATAACCTTGCAGAAGGAAAGAAGTTTAATTCTTCAGGTGTCCACTGGAGAGTCCAGTTTGAACTGGAGAGGATGGGAGCAGGCTGATGACCAAATTGCTGCTGCACACTGGATTATGACCCGGAGCCCTTCTTGCCAACCATCTATGGAAGTGAGGGTGCCAAAGAATTTTCCACCAGCAACTCAAGCCCTGGATGTGCTTGCAAGGAGGCTACAAACCGCAGGAGCTAGACTGCCCAGGTCTTCCTGTGTGACTCTGGACTCAGGACACATCCAGAAACTAAGTTCCCGCTTACAGCTTAACGAGCCACAGAAATGCCTCATTTTTGCTGGATTGTGCTTTATTTATGAATAAACAAACATTGCAGGAAGGGAGAAAGCAGTGTGTTCGCTCTCCAAGAGTGTGTGGTCTGGGCTCTACTGCCATGAGATGCAAGGAGGAATTGCAGTGCACAGATATTTGTTATTGTTTAGTTGTTTAGTCGTGTCCGACTCTTCGTGACCCCATGGACCAGAGCACGCCAGGCACTTCTGTCTTCCACTGCCTCCTGCAGTTTGGTCAAACTCATGTTAGTAGCTTGGAGAACACTGTCCAACCATCTCGTCCTCTGTCGTCCCCTTCTCCTTGTGCCCTCCATCTTTCCCAACATCAGGGTTTTTTCCAGGGAGTCTTCTCTTCTCATGAGGCGGCCAAAGTATTGGAGCCTCAGCTTCAGGACCTGTCCTTCCAGTGAGCACTCAGGGCTGATTTCCTTCAGAATGGATCGGTTTGATCTTCTTGCAGTCCATGGGACTCTCAAGAGTCTCCTCCAGCACCATAATTCAAAAGCATCCATTCTTCAGCGATCAGCCTTCTTTATGGTCCAGCTCTCATGTTCATACATCACTACTGGGAAAACCATAGCTTTAACTAGACGGACCTTTGTCGGCAAGGTGATGTCTCTGCTTTTTAAGATGATGTCTAGGTTTGTCATTGCTTTTCTCCCAAGCACAGATAGATTTTGCAATTCCTCCAACCAGTATCTCTGCGGACTCTGCACAGTATTCAACAAAGTAGTTCCACTAGTGCAAGGACCTTTGGCTGTGCAACAGAACTTGCCCTTCCTCTCCACTCCTCACCTTGTGTACTCCTCCTAGGTCCCCCTAAATCTCCTCTGGGTTTCCCCCCAATCCTCCACTGCAGGTTTGGGGAGTGCGTAGGGAGAGGAAAGGGAAGGGAAATTAGTAGAAATCCTTGCGTGAGCAGAAATGCTTGACTAGATACTGCCCCCTCCCTCTCCACAGGCATTCTGCTTATCATAATGATGGCATGTGGTCTCTTGCACAAACGTGAGCTTCTGGTTCAGGGGCACCGCAAGCAGAAACCAAAACAAAGCATTGCAATATGGTGTGTTTCTGTTCATGCCAGCCACACCCTTCTCCACGAAACTCCATTCCACTCTCCCCCTCCCAAACCTGTTTCCTTCCATTAATTGCCAGTCAGAATTTGCATCCAAAGAGCACACTCAATCCTCACTGGGCTACTGTAGGCCTTCTCCTTTTCCCTTAGGCTCCCCCCTCCCAAAATATATATTTTATGGTACTTTTGCAAACCTTGGGCTGGGGCAGGGAACTGTGGGCCTGCAGGTATTTGCCAACTTCTGGTGTGTGGACATTGCACATTTTTGGCTACCAATGCCTGGAGAATTGAAACCGCTATCAGTTTATATAGGCAGGTTTCCTAGCTAGCTGGTAATGAAGGAATTTAGAACAGCCTCTTTGTGGGGAGAACATTAGGCGAACTGCAACAGGCAGGCAGAAGAAACCTTGCAGGTCATTGGGCTGCCAATTGGAAAAGCTCATTAAACGTGACATCAGATCTACGCGTAACAAAACCTACCTGTCTGTCGGAAGAGCAAACAGACCCAAACAGAAAACAGCAGCAGCAGCACCCTGTCCCAAACACAACCTCATTAGGTATGGCTCTGGTGTGATGTTCACTTAAAAGGAAGTTCCTGGGAGACAGAAATGCCACAGGAAATGTTTTTTCTCCCAACCATCAGCTGGGATGGTGGTGGGATGACATTTCCAACAGCATCTTCCCAGTGCAGGCTTGTTTATTACAAGGCTCGTGTTGCCACTGGAGAGCTGATCACAGCTTGTTTATTCCACTGAGATTGGGAGATTGATAACTCTGGGTCGCTGTCCTGGGAAAATAACTCCTACCTACAGGATGAAGGCAAAGGGACGCGGGTGGCGCTGTGGGTTAAACCACTGAGCCTCTTGGGCTTGCCGATCATAAGGTCGGCGGTTTGAATCGCCGCGACGGGGTGAGCTCCCGTTGCTCGGTCCCTGCTCCTGCCAACCTAGCAGTTCAAAAGCACGTCAAAGTGCAAGTAGATAAATAGGTACCACTCCGGCGGGAAGGTAAACGGCGTTTCCGTGCGCTGCTCTGGTTTGCCAGAAGCGGCTTAGTCATGCTGGCCACATGACCTGGAAGCTGTACGCCGACTCCCTCGGCCAATAAAGCGAGATGAGCACCACAACCCCAGAGTCGTCCGCGACTGGACCTAATGGTTAGGGGTCCCTTTACCTTTACAGGATGAAGGCAACTTGGGGTTTTCTTTAGCAACACCCCCTTGCTGACTATTTTGGACCAGCCCTGCCTGCACACACAAGAGAGTGAAGTGGTAGATTGCTGAGGCAACTGGCTGCACCACTTCAGACTGCAAACTGGTGTGTGTGTTGTGTGTGTGTGCCATTTTTGAACACTCCATGTAAAAGAGTACATGGACAGAGAAAATAGTTTCTCCTCCCATAACATTAGACTCCTGGGTAGCCAGTAAAGTGGAAGGCCGGAAGGCTCCGGAAAGATTCTAAAATTACTTCTCCACGCAGTGCAGGGTTTAAACTATGGAACTCCCTGCCACATGAGGAAGTGATGGCCACCAGTTTGGATGGCTTTAAAGGAGGACTGGGCAAATTCACGGAGGAGAGCGCTAACAATGGTTTGGCAGTTGCTGATTTATTCCAGGGTTGCGTGTTCCTGACTCCTATGTCAATGGCTACCAGCTGCATCAGAGAATGGATGGCTCAGTTGGTTAGAGCGTGGTGCTGATAATGCCAAGGTTGGAGGTTCAATCCCCGTATTCCAGATGATACATTACCATGTATCATCTGACCCATCGACTGCAATTATTAAGTTTGCAAATGACACCACCATAATGGGTTTAATAACAGGTGGAGACGTATCAGCGTATAGAGGGGAGGTCCAAAAAATATCTACAATGGTGCCTAAGGAACAACTTGCACCTTAATATCAGCAAGACAAAGGAGATGGTGTTGGACTTTCGGAGGAAGAGAGGAGAACTAGCTCCACTGTACTCTGGGGAGGGCTGTGTGGAGAGAGTCTCTTCCTTTAAATTCCTAGGAGTTTATCTCAGTGAAGACCTTACATGGAAGATCAATACAACACAACCCAGGTGGTTAAGAAAGCCCAACAGAGACTCCATCTCCTCAGAGTATTGAGGAAGAACAATGTCAATCAACATTTGATGATCTCCTTCTACCGGTCAACAATAGAAAGTGTCCTTTCATACTGCATCACGGTGTGGTACGCTGGTTTGACATCATCTGATGGGAAGTGCCTACAGAGGGTGGTGAATACAGCACAAGATATTATGGGCTGTCCCGTGAATCCGTTGGATGAAATAGCGGAAGAACGTTGCCTCAGGAGAGTGAGGAAAATTCTCAGGGATGATTCACACCCTGGCCGGCACTTTCTGGATCTCCTGCCCTTGGGCAGAAGATATAGAAGCAGGATTAGTCGCACCAACAGGGTAAAGAACAGCTTCTATCCATGGGCTGTTAGGCTGCTGAATGAAAAGATAACAACAGGGCAACTGACTTTTGGGTTTGGTGGGTGTGCCTCAGTAAACGAGGGGAATTAAGACTAAGAGAGCTGAGTGGGGGTGCTCGTGTAATCTCACTGTATGCAAGTTGTACAAGTGACAATAAAGTATTTCAATATTCAATTTCAATTCCTGCCGAACTCTACAACTCTAGAATTCTATGACCCTTAGGACGGAGTGTTGTTACGCTCAGGTCTTGCTTGTGGGCTTTCCATTGTGGCATTTGGCTGGTCAGCCAGGAAAGCAGGGATGCTGGACAGAGCAGCCCTTTGGGCTCTTTCTTGTGGCACAAGAACACTTTTGATCCTTGTTGGGAGTGGGGCAAAGGAAAGCACTTACCCTCCGTTGAAAGGGTTCTCCCCAGGAATGATGTGCGTGCTGTCCTTGCCAACCAGGAATTTGATCCGGTCGTAGAACGAATAAAGGTTCTGCTGCGACACCGGGGGCTGTGTCTCCTGTATGATATCCAGGGGGTCCGGGGAGCCAAGGCAGAGGGTGTTGGTATGGCACAGGGGCTGAAGGCAGCAGTCCGGATCCATGCAGTCCATCAGTCCATCTGTGGGTCGGGCAGAAAAGGAAAGATACACACTCAATAGGGGAAGCAGAAGCAGGTGGCGGGAGCGATATTCAGAGCAGCGATAGTGTCAGGGTTGGTTCAACTGCTGGTCAGCACAGAGTCTCAGAGACAAGCAGTGAAGTTAATTGTTTGTCCAAGAAAACAGTATACAAACAGAGAATACAGTGGTACCTCGGGTTACAGACGCTTCAGGTTACAGACGCTTCAGGTTACAGACTCTGCTAACCCAGAAATAGTACCTCGGGTTAATAATAAAAATAATAATTTATTATTTGTACCCCGCCCATCTGGCTGGGTTTCCCCAGACACTCTGGGCTGCTCCCACAGAGACCAAAAATACACTAAGATGTCACACATTAAAAACTTCCCTGAACAGGGCTGCCTTAAGATGTCTTCTGAATGTCAGGTAGTTGTTTATCGCTTTGACATCTGAAGGGAGGGTGTTCCACAGGGAGGGTGCCACTACCAAGAAGGCCCTCTTCCTGGTTCCCTGTAGCTTTGCTTCTCGCAATGAGGGAACCGCCAGAAGGCACTCGGCGCTGGACCTCAGCGTCCGGGCAGAACGATGGGGGTGGAGACGCTCCTTCAGGTATACATCAGGTTACATACGCTTCAGATTACAGACTCCGCTAACCCAGAAATAGTACCTCAGGTTAAGAACTTTGCTTCAGGATGAGAACAGAAATCGCGCGGCGGCAGCAGGAGGCCCCATTAGCTAAAGTGGTACCTCAGGTTAAGAACAGTTTCAGGTTAAGAACGGACCTCCGGAACAAATTAAGTTCTTAACCCGAGGTAGCACTGCACTCAGGGCAAGACTGGACCCCAGTAAAGCAGAAGGATGCACCCTTCCCTCTGCGGTTTGTGAGACTCCCCTCCTGAAACACATGTTTTTATTCAGGCCTTTCCTGATCCTCTAAGCTCCGATTCTCCCTCTTTGCTCGCCTGCTACTTTTATTTTATTTTGCTGTTTATGCACAGTATCCATGCAACTCACTCAGCCAGCACGAGGATTCCCTTCTCAGTAGTGGCGCCTGCCCTGTGGAACGCCCTCCCCTGAGATGTCCAAGAGATAAATAATTGTACGACCCAGCGCTCGACATTAGCCAGCGTTTTGACCACTTGCGAGCATGTGAAGATGCCTGGGCGCCAGGATGTCGCCTGACAGCTCCACTATCTGAAGATGAGGATACTTAGATCTGGGCTGTTTTCACACACACTAATAGCCCATCTCTCCGTTATATTTTATCTGCACAATTGGAATGAATTTCAGGAACTGAAATGCTTTATCTGCGCAGCCTGAGCAGGAGCAGTGAAGAACGTTGTAGTTAACTGATGTCGCCTGTCTTCACTTACCCCAACCCCACTGCCCTGCTCCCAGTTGTGAAGAATATTCTTAGGTTATGAATGGTCTGTGTTCACCATTAAGAAAAAGAGGTCAGAATGGGCCAGTGTATATGTGTACCAGCCCTGGATCAAGTGACTTTTCTTCTTTAAGTTCTCAAAGCTCAAGGTTGTCATCTGAACTAACCAGATGTTTTAAATGAGAATCAATCACAGTCAGTCCATCCTTTGAGAAATAAGACTTGAGAGCCGCCAAAATGGCAACTAGACATTCCATTTTGGCAACTGCAACCCTGGTTTAAGAAGCCATTTGGTGCCTAGCTGATATACCTGAGTTCCTAATAATAATAAATAATTTTTATTTATACCCCGCCATTCCCAGTTCAGAAAACCGGGCTCAGGGCGGCTAACAACAAATTTAAAACACTTAATTGATGCAACAAAAAACAGCATAAAATACAGTATAAAACGTGAATAACAATAAATTCAGAATTCAAAAATCAATTTAGGGGGGAAATCCATCCAATAAACATTAGATGATCACCAGGGCTAGCTGGCTAGATTGGTCCTATTTGGGCCAGCGAGGAGACCAGGGGAGAATTAGCTGTGGGATCCCAGAGCGTGTAATCTTCATAAAAAGGGGGAGAAGGAGGGAAGGAAGGGGAATAAAAGACCAGGCTAAGTTCAAATGGAAAGCCAGGTGGAATAGCTTTGTCTTACAGGCCCTGCGGAAGGAAGCTAAATCTTGCAGGGCCCTGGTCTCATGGGACAGAGCATTCCACCATGTCGGAGCCATCACTGAGAAGGCCCTGGCCCTGGTGGAGGATAATACTGATACGACCTTCTGTAGATGTGTGAAGGCACCCTGTATTGGGAAGCTTTCCATGCCTGATGTTCTGTTGTGGTTCTGTAAATTCTGGGAAGTATTTCTGCCCCAAAATTGGTAGGGTGTGGGGGCTGTGGGAAGACTCACGCAGGGACCTTACCTAGTCAATAGCTCAGCCTCGTAACCGCTGAACTGTACCAGCTCAGGTTTATAAATGTGGCTTTGGCCTCCCAATGCCAAGAATAACCAGATAAGAGATTGTGGGAAGAGAGAGCAACATTATTTATTAAATCCTTGCTGTTTGCCAAAAGACGTCATGTTGACAATGTTGGTTTTTTTATGATCGTCATTTTTATTTTTATTTTTAAAAAAGAAAGAACACAGTAGCAAGGGTCTGTTTATATGCTTCTTTCTCTTTGAGGCTTTAAGCCTTCCTGGTTTTGTGTGTGTGTGTTTCTGCACAGGTTGTGTGCGACTGAATCTGCCCAACACACACAGCTCCTAAATTTCCCTGAGCCAAAGGGAGCGTAATCCTGCAACACCCATTAAAAGTCAAGGGGAGCTGAGGATCTGCTTTCAGAGTGTTTTTAAGAGCTCTAGAGATGTCAGGGGGGGAGGAAAGGTCCTTTGTCATGCTAGCAGAATAAAGGAAACAAGGAAAGAGGAGATGGCAGGAGGAGAAGAAACCTCAGCTGCACATGGACAGGAAGAAATATTAGGTGCAAGGCTGCCTCTGCAGCATCCTTGCCTGGTCCCAGATGCTCTGCTGATGGTTTCCTCCCCAAAACACATGCCTACTGCCATTGGCAGTTTAATTTTGGCCTTTACAGTCTTAATCTGAGGCAGAGAAGCCAAGGCGGAAGCCAGCAACGGAAGCAGTCATCTGTTCCAGCTGTCCCGTGAAAGCGGATGAGAACAAATTGCAAGCACACGGGGACCTGATCCAGGTTGGAACCGAAACAGGGACAAAGGGGCATTGGGAGAAGGGCCACTGATGGCTATGAGCCACATTGGTTGTGCTGTGGCCCCACAGTCAGAGGCAGGAAACGCTTCTGAATGCCAGCTGTTGAAAGCCACAGGATGGGGGAGAGTTGCTCTCATGCTCAGGTGTTGCTTGCAGATTTCCCACAGGCATCTGATTGGCCGCTGTGAGAAGAGGATGCTGGACTAGATGGCCCATTGGCCTGACCCAGCAGGATCTCCTTCTGTTCTTAAAGGTAAAGGTAAAGGGACCCCTGACCATTAGGTCCAGTCGTGGCCGACTCTGGGGTTGCGACGCTCGTCTCACTTTATTGGCTGAGGGAGCCAGCGTACAGCTTCCGGGTCATGTGGCCAGCATGACTAAGCCGCTTCTGGCGAACCAGAGCAGCGCACGGAAACGCCGTATACCTTCCCACCAGAGCGGCACCTATTTATCTACTTGCACTTTGACGTGCTTTCGAACTGCTAGGTTGGCAGGAGCAGGGACTAAGCAGCGGGAGCTCACCCCGTCGCGGGGATTCGAACCGCCGACCTTCTGACCGGCAAGTCCTAGGCTCTGTGGTTTAACCCACAGCGCCACCTGCGTCTCTTGTATTAAAAACCAACAAATGCATTGGTTAGGCACACTTTCTCCAAATATATGCATCGTTGTATACACTAGTTGGTCGGGAAACTGCAGTGCAAAATCCAGAGGTGCATGAAGGGCAAAGGGGACAGCTGTGTTTTCCTTCACATATTATTATTGGTAGTTTCCAATTAAAATGCAATAATAATACTAATTGAATTTCTCCCCCATCCCGATGTCCCAAAATTGCTATCTATCTATCTATCTATCTATCTATCTATCTATCTGCGCAATATTGACTCCAGCTTTGAGCAACACTCTCTGACAATAACAACCACAGCTTCCATTCTTCCGTTCTGTTTTGGGTCCAGATTGCCTGTCCAGAAAACCACATTTTTTTCTTCTCCAATTCCCCCAAAGGCAATTTTTGGTCCTCTCTCACAGAAGCAGAGATTACAGCACAAATCCACATATTTGACACATCTGGTGTGGTGAATGGCATCGCTGCTTTGAGCCTGTTGTAAACAGAAATGAAGACGGAGGTATCTAGTTTCGCGGGAGAGAAGAAAGTGTCCTTTGTTTTATAGCATGTATGTTTTTATGCACTGGCGCGGGGAAGCGAGAGACGGGCGCAGTTTCTGCACCTTCATTTCTGAATCTTTTTCCAAAGGAAGTAATCTGGGCCATTTACCACACCAGATGTCAAAACTATCTTAAGCATTCGATATATGTTTTGAAAAACCACAACCTTGGGTCCTTCTGCAACAGATAATCTCCCTTGGGTTTACCTCCAACCTCCCTCCCCTTGAAAATAGAATTGCTCTTGTAATATGGTAGCACAGACAATGCTTGTGTTTTACTGCTGTCTTAGGAAGAAGAAGAAGAAGAGTTTGGATTTGATATCCCGCTTTCTCACTACCCGAAGGAGTCTCAAAACGACTAACATTCTCCTTTCCCTTCCTCCCCCACAACAAACACTCTGTGAGGTGAGTGGGGCTGAGAGACTTCAGAGAAGTGTGACTGGCCCAAGGTCACCCAGCAGCTGCACGTGGAGGAGCGGGGAAGCGAACCCAGTTCCCCAGATTACGCTCTTAACCACTACACCACAGTGGCTCTCAAGGAACAGGAAGGAGCTGACGTGCAGAGTCAGGACATTGGTTTCCCTAACTCACTATAGTCTACTCTACACTGACTGGCAGCAGCCAGGGATTGAAACTGGGACCTTCTGCATACTAATCAGATGATCCTCCACTGAGCTATTGACCCTTCCTCATAACTCATATGGCCCCTAACAACCATATGGGTGACGTTGATGGGGTTTCCATAATCAAAAAAATATAAGACCATTGTTTATGTACGCAGTTACGGCAGCCAGAATAAGAGTGGCAAGAAATTGGAAAAATGAAATTTTACCAGCGATTACCGAGCGGTAAATTCTTATGCTAGAATACCTGTAACTAGCAAAATTGACTGGGAAAATTAGAGGAATGTCAAACCAAAAGGTATTTAGGGAATGGAAAATATTTAAAGAATACTTGAAAATGTACAGTACCAACAATAAGATACTTGCAGAAATAGGGTGATATTGATAACCAATAATTATTTAAAATATAATAGTGGATTATATATCTATATACAAAATAAAATAATGTGAATCTGTGCAAAGAATACAGACAATCTAGGTAGTATAATAAGAATTATTGGAAGTTACATATTTTAATTTGTATTATATTGTGTTTGTTTATGTTTGTTTCTTTATCATTTCTTACTTTATTGTTTTTATTCATTTGTATTGTTTTCTGTATTATATGTTATGTATATTTGTTTATGTGAAAATTAATATATTTTTTAAAAAAACAAAAACAAATTATTAATTCCTCTATCTCCCTTGCAGTGTGATGTCTCCTAACTTCTAATCCAAGGTTAGCAACCTACTAGAGCTTTCTTGGCAACAAGATCCTAACCTATGCTATTAATAGCCAATTTTAAAAACTCGGCTGACATTACTCAACATAAAAGTATTGAAAGAAAAGTAAAAAAGCATGTCGCCGCAGGAAAGGTGGTTTAGCCTTATGAGAATTTAAATTTGGGGCAAAAGCAGGTGTTTGGCGAGCAGGAGGGGTATCTATCTGGTGCTCATTGGGGCAAGACGGTTTGAGCATATTACACCGAGCCTGGCCCAGTTGCACTGGCTGCCAATTACTCTCCGGGCCCAATTTAAAGTGCCTGTTTGGACCTGGGTAAAGGTATAGGTAAAGGGATCCCTAACCATTAGGTCCAGTAGTGGCTGACTCTGGGGTTGCGGTGCTCATCTCGCTTTATTGGCCGAGGGAGTCAGTGTACAGCTTCCAGGTCACGTGGCCAGCATGACTAAGCCGCTTCTGGCGAACTAGAGCAGTGCATGGAAACGCCGTTTACCTTCCCGCCGGAGCGGTACCTATTTATCTACTTGCACTTTGATGTGCTTTCGAACTGCTAGGTTGGCAGGAGCAGGGACTGAGCAACGGGAGCTCACCCCGTTAAGGGGATTCGAACCGCTACCTTCTGATCGGCAAGTCCTAGGCTCTGTGGTTTAACCCACAGCGCCACCCGCGTCCCTATAAAGCCTTAAATGGTCCATAAAGCCTTAAATGGCTCAGGACTGCAATACCTCAAGGACTGCCTCTCCCCATATGAACCAACCCGGACTCTGCGTTCCTCCTCCAAGGCCCTTCGTTTGTGTGCCTCCTCCATGAGAGGCCCAAAGGTTGGCAACGTAAGAACGGGGGCCTTTTTTGCAGTGGCTCCCCTTTTGTGGAACGCTCTCCCCCAGGGAGGCTCGCCTGGTGCCTTCATTACAGTGGTACCTCGGGTTAAGTACTTAATTCGTTCTGGAGGTCCGTTCTTAACCTGAAACTGTTCTTAACCTGACGCACCACTTTAGCTAATGGGGCCTCCTCCTGCCGCCGCGCTGCTGGCACGTGATTTCTGTTCTCATCCTGAAGCAAAGTTCTTAACCCGAGGTACTATTTCTGGGTTAGCGGAGTCTGTAACCTGAAGCATCTGTAACCTGAAGCGTCCGTAACCCGAGGTACCACTGTACACCTTTAGGCAACAGACAAAAGCGTTCCTCTTCAGCCAGGCCTTGGGCCGACCAACAGTCCACGTCCTCTGCAGGACATTGAGCTTAATTCCAGAAGTGTTTGCTTTAATGCAATACAGTGGTACCTCGGGTTAAGAACTTCATTCGTTCCGGAGGTCCGTTCTTAACCTGAAACTGTTCTTAACCTGAAGCACCACTTTAGCTAATGGGGCCTCCTCCTGCCGCCGCACGATTTCTGTTCTCATCCTGAAGCAAAGTTCTTAACCTGAGGTAATATTTCTGGGTTAGCGGAGTCTGTAACCTGAAGCGTATGTAACCTGAAGCCTATGTAACCCGAGGTACCACTGTAATTTATTGAGCCAGACCACTTGTCCATCTAACTTCGCATTTCTACCCTGACCAATGGCAGCTGTCCATGGTTTCAGACAGGAGATACCCCAGTCCTACTTGGCGATTCCAGCAATCGAAGCCGGCAGCTGGGGCATGTGAGGCAAACTCTCTGCCTGGGAGCTACAGGCCTTTGCCATTTGGGGACATTCAGGGATACCACCACCCCCCTCCGATTTTCAGGATGGTGCAGGCCAACGGAGACCTGCAGTCTGACAAACCACGGTGATGGGTGCCTTACCTCCATCGTTGTCCTTCCCGTCGCCGCACGCCGTCTCCATGGACGTGTCGCAGCCGGCCCCTCTCCAGCCCAGCTGGCAGACGCAGCGCCACCCATTCATGTCGAGCGTGCACCTGCCGTTGCCGTTGCACAAGCCGGGACACCCCTCTGGAATGGCAGAAAGGGAAATAACAGTTCCAGGAAGCCATTGAGAAATTAAAACAGGGTCGGGGAGTGAGAGGAATACGCAACCTATCTGTTGTGTCTAGACGAACAGGGACTTGCAAGGACCATGGTTAACAGTCTTCCCTGGGCTGGATTTAGGTTTGATGAGGCCCTAAGCTGCTGAAGGTAATGGGGCCCTTTATATGTCCAGCTGCCCTTTGTCAACAACGAATTGTCGCTGTTTTTTGTGTTGAATATATGCTATATGGTGATTTATGGACCTAATAGGTATCTCAAGTCATTTGCACATGTTGCCTTGCAACCTGTCCATGCAGAATGGAGGCACCCTATATATAAAAAGGTAAAGGTATTCCTGCCCGTACGGGCCAGTCTTGCCAGACTCTAGGGTTGTGCGCTCATCTCACTCTATAGGCCGGGAGCCGGCGCTGTCTGCAGACACTTCCGGGTCACGTGGCCAGCGTGACAAGCTGCATCTGGCGAGCCAGCGCAGCACACGGAACGCCGTTTACCTTCCCGCTGGTAAGCGGTTCCTATTTATCTACTTGCACCCGGGGGTGCTTTCGAACTGCTAGGTGGGCAGGCGCTGGGATCGAACGACGGGAGCGCACCCCGCTGCGGGGATTCGAACCGCCGACCATGCGATCGGCAAGTCCTAGGCGCTGAGGTTTTACCCACAGCGCCACCCGCGTCCCCTTACCCTATATATAGAAAGGAGCAAACCAGTGATATTTTAGGGAGCAGGCTAGCAGGCGGGGCCCATCACTTACATCATAGAAGCCTACACAACACAAACACTGTTGCTGCATGTACGTTTTATTTTATTTGTTTTTTATGTTATATTTTGGAAATGTACATCCAGGGTTTTTTTCCTTTAATTTTTTGGGGGCCCCCAAGAGAGTGGGACCCTAAGCTATAGCTTGTTTAGCTTATACGTAAATCTGGCACTTCCACTACAAAAGGAGGTTTGCACCATTTAAGTCAACATTTCTTTCTTTTAAGAGGGCATGCAAGCATCTGAACCCGATTTGTGGGTGGTTGGACATGCAATCACAATGGAAGATATCTGGGAATGTCCTCCCCGCCCTTAAAAACAACAACTTCTTTTCTCATCTCCAAATGGAATAATTTGCAAACTACTATAGTGAACGTAAAAGGAAGATTATGCCCTGCATCAATTATACTGCAATTTTTCTTATTCCAGAAAAAAAACAAAAACATGCGGAAGATTCATTTTCATTAACAGAAAACACTTTCATTCGCTTTGCTTCTTTATGCCATACATACGCCCACCAATTTATCCATTTACATTATCTCTCTTCTTAGCCAACTATTTACAAAAATAAAACACATTCTCTCTTTTAAAAAACCTACCCCAAAAAGTGATTTGGATTATCCATTTTTTGCTTCAGCATCTTCGCAAACAATTTCGTTGCCTCCGTTATAATGGTATATTTTAAATAATCTAGTAATAACTGAGGAAACAAAACGCCAAGTATTTGAAAAGAACTGGCAGTGACGGATTTATCGACTGCCGGGAATGTCAACAAGGTATTAAACACAGAGTTTGTCTTATCGAATTAATCATTGATCTGTTCCAGTGTGTTGCTCGAGTCCTAATTTTGAGTACCTTTTTGTCAGAGCAAATCAAAACAAAGTTAAGGTAGGGCCTAGTGTAAATTATACTTCCAACGGGCAGGGTCCCCCACCCCCTGTTTTTAGCAAAATAATTGCAGACATCCATTTTCATTTGTTCAGCCTTAAGCTTCTTGCATTTATCGTTGGCAAATTTCAATCTGAGTGGTGACTATAAATACGACATAACAATTCAGTACATCTATCCTTTGTCTGCAGTCTTCAGTCATTATCCTGTTTCCACTTATAACCAGATCTTCCTGAGATTCTTGTAACTTATATTTTGCCTAGAAGCATGGTGTGCCGGTGCTGTGTCCCTCCTTCATTCCCTGAGTGTATATATTCATATTATCTCACACCCTCCAAGTGTCCCTATTTTCCAGGGACAGCCCCGGATTTACAGAAGGCGTCCCAGTTTCTGATTTGATCCCGGAATATCCTGCTTTTATTATTATTATTATTCCACAGGACATCCCTATTTTCATCAGAGAAACGTTGGAGGGTATGCTATCACAGGAGAGTCTCCAGTTCTTTCAATTTTAGTTCATTGGAAAACTCAATATTTGTCCTAAGCACCTCGTGAGAATGTGGATGGATGTTAGTTCAGGATAACTATTTCTGCTCTCTGAAATAGTTATGGTTGGCTAGCATAGCCAGACTAACTGCAGTAGAAGTATTCTTATTATGGATGGGGAAAACCTATTGGTGTTTCGCAACTTTCTGACTAGTTGCAGGACCTTAGCCAGACCTAGCAGAGTACACA